GGACATCTAGACACAAGCCATAACACTGCTGCAAAGCAAAGGTAACAGCCAACAGAGTGAACAAACAACCTAAGGAATGGGGAAAATATTTTCCATCTACTCCCCCAAAAAATTAATATCTAGAATATAGAATCCACCGAAAAAGTATACACACTTTCAGCATTTTGCCATACTAATAAACGTCTGGGAGCTCATGGCCACCACTGTGAGCGTCCCTTGTAATGGTACAGGCCAAAAGTAACTTGTATTAATCTCATAATGTCTCAATAAATTTAATATTAAAATATGTATATAAACTATTTCCTTGATGTACACATTTTCAGAAGACTCTGTATATAAAGAAATCAAAAATTAAACCCCCAAAAAATAAAAGACCCAATCAAAAATGGGCATGTGAGATGAATAGATATTTGTCAGATAAAGAAGTATAAATGGGCAGTAAATACATGAAAAAATGTCCAGCCTTTTAAAAACAATACTGAAATTTCATCTCCAGAAAGAAAGGCTGTCTTGGCTGGGGATTTAGCTCAGTGGTGCTGCTGCCTGCCTGACAAGGGAAAGGTCCTGAGTTTGATCCCTGATGCCATAAAAATAAGATAAAATAAAAAGAATGGCTATCTTCAAGAAATCAAACAAGAGCATACTGGGGAGGCTGCATGGGGAACAGAAACACTTCACTGCTCCTGGGAATGGAAACGGGTGCAACCACTACAGAAATCAGTACAGAGATTCCTCAAAAAACAAAAACTAGAAATTCCATTTGACCCATCTGTTCCCCTTCCAGGTGGGCCCAAGAGTTAAAGCCATTATATTACAGTGATACGTGCATACCCACGTTTACAGCATAATTCGTAATAGTTAAATCTTGGAAGCAGCCTATATATCAAGATGAATGGAGGAAGAAAAAGTGGTGCACATGTACACAATGAAGTACTTCTCTGCCACAAGGAAAGGTAAACTTTTTGTTTGTTTTTTGAGACAAGGTCTCACCATGTGTCCCAGGCTGGCTTCAAACTTGCGACAACCCTCCTGCCTCAGCCTCCCAAGTGCTAGGATTACAGACATGCACCACCACAGCCAGCAAAAAGGATAAAATTGGGTCCCTTGTAGAAAAATGGGTGCAACTTGAGATCATAATGTTAAGTGAAGCAAATCAGACACAGAAGCTTAAATTTTGCACGGTTTCTCTTACACGAGAAAGACAATATATAAATAAAGCACAAAATGAAAGAAAAAAGTTATTATAATCTAGTTTGGCCTCTGTACCTAAAAGTGTACCTGATTTAGTATAACTGTTTTATATGTTGTGTGGCCTGTCAGCCTGGCTCATAATCCGTGTTTGTGATAATTAAACTGATAAAGACATAAAATAAATAAATAAGCTGCTGGCAAAAAAAATTTTAAAACAGGGGTGAAGGGGAAGGGGGAAAAAACTGAGATGTGTTATGCACATGTATCAATTCCCCACAATGAATAGAATCATTGTGTACTGCAAAATGTACTAATAAAAAATTTTTGAATGATTTGTTAATAAAGCTGGAAATTCCCAAAATTTAAAAAAAAATCCTCAGCAAGATACTGGTGAATAGAATATAACATATAGCCAGGCACGTATGCCTGTAATCCCAGCACTTGGGAGGCTGAAGCAGGAGGATCGCTGTGAGTTCAAGACCAGCCTGGGCTACACAGTGAGCTCCAGGTCAGTCTGAACTAAATAACGAGACCCTGTCTCAAAAACCCAAAAAGAGAAAAAACCAAAAGAATATAACATATCATCAAAAAGCCCATGCACCATGACCAAGTAGGCTTCGTGCCAGGGATACAGGATGATTCACCATATGCAAATCCATGAATATAATCCATCACATAAACAGAAGCAAGGACAAAAATCATGTGGTCATCTCAACAGATGCAGGAAAAGCCTTTAACAATATCCAACATTCAAGAGCCAGCGATTTGGCTCAGTGGTTCCATCACCTGCCTTGCAAGTGCAAAGGCCTGAGTTCAATTCCCGGTACCAAAAAAAAAAAAAAAAACCTACAGAAAATTGGTATAGAAGATTCTCATCTCAATCTGACAAAAGCCATTTATGGCAAACCTACTGCCAACATTCTATTAAAAGTGCTAGGATTACAGACAAGCACCACCACAGCCAGCAAGAAGGATAAAATTGAGTCACTTGTAGAAAAACGGGTGCACCTTGAGATCATAATGTTACGTGAAGCAAATCAGACAGTAGAAAAACAGGTGCACCTTGAGATCATAATGTTAAGTAAAGCAAATCAGACACAGAAACTCAAATTTCCATATGGGGGGAACTGAAAATGTTCTCCCTAAAATCAGGAACAAGACAAGGATGTCCACTTTCACCACTTCGATAATTTAGTCTTGAAAGCATTAGCCAGAGCAATCAGGCAAGAGAAAGAAGTAAACAAGGTGTGAACATACAGGAAAAAATGCAGTCAAAGTACCATTATTTGCAGAAGACCTTATCCTCTACATATAAGGACCAAATTCTACACCAAACCAAATTCAGTAACGTAGAAGGATGTAAAATCTACCCACAAAAGTCAATAGTGTTCCTGTACACTTAATAATACACTTACTGAAAAAGAAATTCATAGAAGAATACAGTTCTCAGTAGCATCAAGAAAAAATAAATACCTAGAAATTAACCTAATTGAGGAATCAAAAGAGTTCTAAAATGAAAATTAAATTGCTCTGAAAAAGGAGATCAGGGCTGGGGATTTAGCTCAGTAGTTCTGCCTCCTGCCTCTCAAGTGCAAAGTCCAGAGTTTGATCCCTCGTTTAAAAAAAAAAAAAAAACAGTGCTAGGAAAACTGGATACCCACATGTAGAAAATTGAGATTGGACAGAGGACTAACATCCAAAACTAATAAATAAATAAAAGTAATAAATAAAGAACTCAAAAATAATAGACCTTCACAATAAAAGACCCAGGGGCTGGGGAGTTAGCTCAGTGGTTCTGCCGCCTGTCTCACAAGCACAAGATCCTGAGTTCGATCCCAGGTATAAAAAAAAAAAAAAGACATTTTTTAAATATAAATAAATAAATAAAAGACCCAGGCAACTGAGATGAATAGACAGGTCTCAAAAGAAGTCCAAGTGACCAATAAATATATGAAAAAAATGTTCAACATTGCTGACCATTCAAGAAATCCAAATCAAAACAACACTGAGGTCACATCTCACTCCTGAAAGAATGGCTATCTTCAAGAAATCAAGTAAACAGCCAGACATGGTGGCACATGCTTGTAGTCCCAGCACCCTGGAGGCTGAGGCAGGAGGATCCCTGTGAATTCAAGGCCAACCTGAACTACACAGGGAGACTCTGTCTCAGAACAAAAAAAAAAAAAAAAAAAAAAA